CTGTGCCAGACACCCTATCAGCAGCCTTCTTTGCCTACAAAAGGGGCCAAAGAAAAAAGAGATATTGGAACCGCTTGAGCAAAATTGCAGAAAATTACAGAAGAAACTGTTTTACCTCTTTCTCCCAATTCATTCGCAAAGTTATTATTCCAAGAAGTGATGTTTGTGCAGCCAGCGCCACAATAATGCCAATCCAAAGCCCCTGTGCACCATATTATGATCAGACAAGATTATTTGTCATTTTGCTTCCTGTGGCTAGGTACTTTATTGGAAGTTGTTGTGGAACAGAGGAAATGGGGAGGAATGGAAGCAATGCAGTCCAAGTGTACCTTTCCTCCAACATGATAGACAAATGCTAACAGTATAGCAGAAGGTATTCCCAACAAATAATAAGCTCCCAAATTGATGACTGCACCTACCCTTTGCCAGCCACATCCTCTTGCAGTGCCTGGAATTCATTTGGATAGAAGCTTTGATAAAAGATCATTTTATCCTTGAGAATATGATCTAAAGCCATATTAGCCCTTGACTTAGAGATGAAAATGACAAAAATGTGAATGTACAAAGAGTGAAATTTACAGAGATTCATGCAGATTAAAAACTCATATTGCTCGCACTTCTGTAAGTTTAGTTTACCATAGCTTTACCCTTAAAACCTCTAAATTTCCATGACTGAAAAGAAAATTGGAAGTTCTGGTGTCAATGAAGGTGTCTAGTTAACTACAAATTTTGGGGGGGTTTTTTTTTTATTAAGTTGCATTCTAAGATCAGAATTAATGTCAAGAGATGGATTTGCGAAACACCTTTCATTAGAACTATTATACGGAGATATTGACAGACCTGAAAGTACGGTTTGAATGCCCTCTAGAATATGTGATCCTGCAAGCAAAAGCATCATATCTGCTACATATCTCACTACCTTTTCTTCTGTGCTATAGCAGTAGCCCCATACTTTGCGCAAAAGGATGAGGCATGTTGATGCCAAAACACCTTCCGTCAAAACAACCAAAAGTCCAATGCATGCTGCTAAACGAGCTTCATATGGCCTACCAGCCCCGAGTTCATTTGAGACCCTTGTACTGAAGAAGAAGAACCAAAACTTTCCAAACTCAGTGGACAGTTATTAAGGGGTGTGTGTGGGGGTTGGGAGCATGGTTCAAAGTTTCGGTCGAGGTCACGGTTGCGGCTCGAACCGTTCCACACTGGTTTCGGCATATCGGTCGCGGTCTCAACAAGATGCAAATTTTGAAGTATTTAATATTTTAAAAATTGTAAATAATATAAAACAATATGCTAAACAAAAATAATAAAAAATTAGTAAAAGAAAATCTGTAAAATGTACTTTTTTTGTTGGATTTAAATTGACTCGAGATGATTCGGGACGACTCTGTATGACTCGGCCATTTCTATCCTTATCAGAGACTTCTCGGCCAAGTTTTCGGCAATCTATGTATCTCAGAGTCATCTCGTCCCGGTATCGCAACCGAGAGCTCGCTCTGGTGACCACTCGGCCGATTCTTTGAACCATGGTTGGGAGGGGCCCCGGGGGGGTAGAGAATAGTTAAATCACCTGATGGCACCACCAAGTCCTAGCGGCATCACGTAAATCATGCTACATGTGTTAAGGCTGCAATGCACACCTTTGTAAGTTCAAAAAAGTTGCTTACTCATTGCTGATCAAATTTCAATGGAATTTTTAGGGACTAACCTGATGGAAAGAACTGGTGTTTCTAGCTTTGGATTTGGAAGAAGACCAGACAGCAAAACCATCATTTCAAATGACCAAATCTCTAGGCTGTTTCACAGCATGATATGATTTATTTGCTATGGGTAAGAGTTGAAATTAGGAGGAGATGTGCATGCAACAAGGGGAATAGAGAATTACCAGGTCATTATAGCAGAAGGAATTGCCAGTGTAAGAAATTTCCAGATATGATGAAATGCTTCCTTGGAAAATCCAGTCCAAGTCATTTTACAGGAAGGAGATAACCTAATATACAACGCTAACAACAAAACATTGATCCAATACGAAACGGAGCTAGCCAGAGCAGCACCTCTGCTTCCGAGGCCTGATTTAAATACGAGAAGCCAACACATGAGTAAATGAACTAATGTTATAATTCCAGTAGTAAGCATCATAGGAAAGACATTATTTTGGGCTTGCAGAAATCGGATTTGGCAGTATAGGAGCGCAACAGCAAAGATGCCTGGTATCAGAAAGCGGGCATACACTTCAGCTTCAAATGATATTTCAGGATCTTGCCCCACAAACGCAAGAATACGCCCTGTATTTGCCCAAATACATGTAAGAGGGATGCAGGTAAGTAAAAGGACGACCATAGCTCTCTGCATATGAATTCCCAGCATTCGATAGTGTTTTGCTCCATAGGACTGACCGCAGAATGTGTCCAATGCACCAGACATCCCATTCTGCCCAAAAAAAAGGTAAGCCATGATCGCATATAAAATATGATTTTGACGTTCATCAAACACTTAGATCTGCACAGCATGAGGCTCATTTGTCTTCAACTAGCTTTTGTAAATGTATTATGCTTGCAGTTCCTAAGCATATCAGTTTTGAGTTTCGTACTTGGCATCTACCTTTAAATATTTCTCCACAACCATAAAAACAGTTTTTTTTTCGTTGTCAACAATTGGATTTGATGCTGCTAATATCGATGCATTTTCAAATTATCAGAGATTAATCAGATCTCAAATACCTAAACAACATGAGAACATCAGCAAAAATCAAGTAACAATTGTTGTCTCAGCAATACAACAGAGTTAATTTGGAAATTATTCCAAAAAAATTGTCCTCCTGAAACCGATTAAGCTTCAGGTGTGAAACTGAACCTCAAACAACTTGATTACACCGAATAAAATGCAAAAATCATGGCTGATTTTACTTGTAGAGCAAGTATATTATCACTTACGAACAAGCTGAAACCAGTTACTGAAGCGAATGAAGTAGCCAAAGAAGCACCAGAAAGAGCTAGCTCTCCAAGGTGACCAACAAACATGAGGGCGATCACCTGCAAAGCAAATATCAAGAAGTTGACCAAGATCAGAGGCCCTGCCAGTGCCAAGAGCTTCTTCACTTCTGCCAAGAAATCGGAATGCTTTGTACTGGATCCCTGCACTCCGGATGAGACTGGAACAAGTGGGCATTCCAGTCCATGGCTTATGTTTTTCTCATCCATAGTTCCCCTTTCTCAACTCTTCTCTCGCAAGGATCAGATTGTGAAGAACTCAGCATTCCCTTTCAGATTTATGAATTGTTTTCAATGAAAGAGATCTCAGCACCATTGTCTGTCTATGTAAATTCATTAATGCAATACTATCATGCGCCGGATGTTGTCGCTACTGTTTCCTTTCAATTTCAAACCTCGGTTACAGGTCGATTTTCTAAGATATCTCAAACACTCGGTAGAAGTTGTTTTCATAATGCAACCTCTTCGTCCCTTGACCAATTTCTTTTAGTACGAGGATGGTGTAAATCCCTCCCAAAATTTCTGCACTGCATTAGAGTTGTCTGAGTAGGCATCCCATGATTGGTCAGAGAGTCACGACACCAAAAATGCATTACTCTTCTAGTTTTGTATTCTTTGACGTGTCTCCGCATCTGTCAAAAGATATGAATTCCTCGAAAATTCTAAGGATTGGTACAGTGATTTGTACCAATCCATTGGTACAGTGGTTTGATGTGGTACGGATGTGGTAGGAGCCAGACACGTTAGGAAAAGCAAAATTCAAGGTTGTTTTTGGCGTGGGTTAAGGCTACCGGAACTTAAATGAGTGTCGTGATGGTGGGTTCCACATTGAAATGACCCAAGCCAATTTATCAGTCACATGGGTGAATAAGACCCAAGACATTATTAATATTACTATTGTTTTCTAATTTATATACAATAGACATAATGAAGAAAATGCAAAGTTAGATACGTAACTGAAAAGAAATTAGAAAAAATAAATAATTTATGTATGTACAGAACTAGATAAATTTTGATTCATTTAATTACATAAATTGACAAAAGAGGAGATAATTTAAATATTTTGGAAGAAATTTTGGAATAATGTATACAATTAATTAAACCGATCACAGGAATTAATAATTGTAAAGGAGTAAACGAATGGTTAATTAATTAGTTGAGATGGAACATTTGTAGGAGAAGTAATATGCTGTTTTATTATATGAGAAGTAATTAATATGATTCTTTTATTATATTTGCGGGTAGAACATATATAAAGAAATGTTTAAAAAATGCATTTGTTATGGTATTGGTCCAAATTAATGAGAATGAATTGATGACATAATAACCGGAGTGCAAATAGGTGAAATTTAATTAGACCATACTTGTCACTTTTAAATTTTCAACATTATCATCATAATCACCTTAATTATACTTTTATCATTTGATTAACATATTGTTTATGTATTGTCATCCAATAGCACAACTAACTTTCATCGATAAATCAACCATAAACATTATAATTACCAAATTCATTAAAATAATATTAAAAAAGCTTTTAAAGATCAAAGTTTTTTTTTTGTTTATTAAAACTTTATACCAATTTCTTCCGTATAAAAAGCGATTGTTTTAAATTGCACATGGACTGAGTGTGTCCTTTATCACTAGTGGTATTTGAAGTCACCCCTGTCAGTTGTCCTATTGACTTGACGTGCGGCAGAATACCATGTACAATTGTGTGTCAGTCTAATACCAATGAAATGGTGGAAACTGCCGTGCCATCTTGAAGAAGCTTCGGTGAATTCCTCTGTGGTGGAGCCATCTCCAACTCCCGTGTAGTGAAAAGTTGGGTAGAAAAATAAATCAAATTATTCGATAGTTAAATCGAATTCGGTTTGATAAATTAAATTGCTTAGATACTTGAATCGAACTCGATTTGATAAAAGTTTCTTCGAATTTAGTTCGCTAACTAGTTTAGTTCAAACTCATTAGTGGATTAAGTTCCTTAAAGCATTGGACTAGTACTTGTAGTTATCATTAGAATAATTAATGTAATTAGAATAATACGCAACTTATAGAAAAAGTGTAACTTGTGATCAAGCCAATTACATTGCAGATAAAAAAAAAAAAAATCAGAATTCAAGTTTGGCTAAATTCCAGTGTCCAGGAATTTATAGTTGCTTTTACGTTTTCAAGGAATATAATTAATCCTGAACTACATCAAGAAGGCACTAGAATCTTGAAAACAATCCAAAAGCTGGATTTGTGACGGTGAATCCTCCATCCAACATAAGATTGTGTCCACTCATGAACCTTGCCTCCTCACTAGCCAGATAAACAGCAGCATTGGCTAAATCTTCAGGCTTCAAGACCATCCCTTCAAGGTTTGTGTAAACTCGTGATTGTCCTTCTTCACCAAAATTGAAGAAGTTCTGGGACAGTGGTGTCAAAACAACATGAGAAGACAAGCAGTTGACTCTGATTCCATGCTTCCCAAGCTCTGCAGCAGCATTTCTTGTCAAGCCCACGACAGCATGCTTTGAACTCGAATATGAATGGGAGGTTATCCCTCCAATGCTTCCTGAAATGCTTCCCAGGTTAATGATGCTCCCACTTCGCGTTGGGATCATCGCCCGGGCTGCATGTTTGATGCCGAGGAAAACACCTGAGAGATTAACCCGCATCACACGTTCAAAATCGGAAAGATCGTTGTCTAGGATGCTAGTTTTTCCTTCATCTGCTATGCCAGCGTTGTTGATCATGATATCCAGCTTCCCATGCTCGTGAACGGTCCTGTTAATTGCATTTTCAATATCTGATTCCTTGGTTACATCACAATAGAGAAAAGATGCATTTTCGGCGCCCAAATCGTCACATACAGATCGCCCCAGCTCTTCATTTATGTCAACACACACTACTTTAGCCCCATGATTGACGAACACTCTTGCCATACAAGCACCTATGCCTTGAGCTGCGCCAGTGATCAGAGCGACCTTACCTTCCAACCTTTAATATTTAGGAAAACAAAAGAGAAAAAGAAAAATGCCGTGTCAGATCATTATCTTTCAAGAAAACGCAGGAGAAGGAATGAGAATCGTCAGCACTAGTACCTTTTGCCAACCTGAGCTTCTGATGAAAGATTAGCCATTAAGTGATGATAACTCCTTTGTGAACTTGAGCTAGAAATGAGAGAGAAGTTGGTGTGCGTCTTTGCCAAAACCTAGCCCCATTTTATAGCCAAGCAACTTAACTACCATTAACAATAAAATATACTAAGAGGTTTACTAGATGCCTTTACTGACCCCATATTAACATTAAAAATTTTCCTAATTTGACATATTAACATAGTCAAATATACTGCATATATCTCAATAGGTACGCCTGCTTAACAGTTGCAATCTTCATATATAGATTTCACTGTCAGTCTTCACGTTATGTAAAAGGACATGTCCTCAACTGGCTCTGCCATAACTTCCAGTATTCGGGTTGGTCCCTGCAATCATATTATACATTTGAAGGTTGTTGAGCAATGTCCATGGAGTTTCCTGGCTGGAAACTAGTTTGACCAAAAACCTTCATCTCTTGGCAAGATCCATATAATACACCAAATTGGAAAGATCCTCAAACCTGAACCTGTACCCCCTTCTTGTAAAAAGACAAGAATATAAAACAAGAAGCACATATCTCCTGTTCAGATGAATTATGCACCATGGCATTTAGATAAGAGAACAATGCGTCCCACTTGGCTGTTGAAGTCATTATTGCATAGTCGCATGTCTGAAAATAAATCCCATTTCTTCCTGATGACCTAATGAATTAATTAAGCAGTCAAGAATTGAGATGCAATGCATCTATTGGTTTCTACCACTTGGATATGTGAAATTGATGTCTTTCGTAGCTACCAAGCTTTTGGACTGTTCCAAATATATTATTGCCAAATTTTAATCTTCTATTCCTCAGTCTTTCGCGATTACTTCTATTCAACGTCCAAGTCACCCATGTTTCTTATTTACTTCTGGCAGCTAGTTATGTTCAAAGGAAAGTAATTTCGCTAAGGATATTTCTATTTTATTATATTTTGTTGTTGATTATAAAATAACTAAAACTTCATTTTGACAAATACATAGAAATGAACCCGAGGAGTTGGGGCCAGTGGCAAGCGGCTGGTAATGCGAGCAGGACGACCAAGCTTTGGGTACCGAAACAGATGGAACGGCCATAGTTTTCAAAAAGGGGAAAATATGTACAATTGGCTTAACTATTGAAAAGACAAAAATATCCAAACGTGAAAGTTTGCAAGCCAGTTCAGATGTCGTCGACGCCTTCAATAATGGTGTAAAATGGGATCACGGGACCTTTTTTTCAGGAGTTCAGAAGTTACTTGAAAATAGTTGCGTAGTGATCTAATCCCAAAAACAAACTCTATTTCGACTTCAAAGCCATGAGACCCAAATTAAAAATATCTAAGATTTTAGATTTGACAAATGAAATCTGAGAAAGAACAAAGGAAAAAAAAATTTAACCGAGAAATTTCAATTTATGATTGTTGAAATAAACTAATTTACGCATAACTTTTGATTTAGATGCACAAAACGAATCACACTTTTACCACTAAACTACACCCGCTACAATGGAATTACTTTCGCATATAGTGACTTAATTACACATTTCTTCCTGAAACACTAACCCTCCAGCGTCAATAAAATGCTGGAACGTACTCCTCTATTTATTTATTTCTCTTCTTGTTTTCCTAGTGATTCTTGTCTTTATTCTTCTATCGGTAAATGACTGCCACAGTCCCTCAAATTTTAATAATAATTCTATTTGATCTCTCAATTTTTAAAAGTGCTTATTCAGTCTCTCAACTTATTAAATTTGGTTTTGAGTCCCCAAACAAAACATAAATAGTTTAATTTTCACATTACCCCCTCAAGTTTGATTTAATATCTATTTTTCTATTCTAAGTTTAAAAATAAGGCAAATTATCCCCTTTAATATTTTTGTTCTAACTATGTAATGTCCTGAACCATGTTTCCCTATCGTTATATTATTTGCCTCAAAATCATGGCAGAAACTTTTTTTTTGTTGCAATATCGTTTTTACGCAAGTTAATTGTTGTAGCACTATATTCATGTAAACTAAGTGTACAACATTCGCCAAAAAAAAAAAGAAGAAGAAGCAAATTATGAGTGCAAAAAGCCAAAACGAAGACAGAAAACAATCCAAAAGCAGGATTACGTATCCTAAAGTACATGAATAATTCTAAAGACGAAGTCTGCACTAGAATCTTGAAAACAATCCAAAAGCAGGATTTGTGACAGTGAATCCTCCATCTAACATGAGATTGTGTCCACTCATGAACCTTGCCTCATCACTTGCCAAATAGACAGCAGCATTGGCTAAATCTTCAGGCTTCAAAACCATCCCTTCAAGGTTTGTGTAAACTCTTGATTGTCCTTCTTCACCAAAATTGAAGAAATTCTGAGACAGTGGTGTCAAAACAACATGAGAAGACAAGCAGTTGACTCTGATTCCATGCTTCCCAAGCTCTGCAGCTGCATTTCTGGTCAAGCCAACTACGGCATGCTTCGAACTAGTATACGCATGGGAGGTTATCCCTCCAATACTTCCTGAAATGCTTCCCAGGTTTATGATGCCCCCACTTCGCGCTGGGATCATCACTCGGGCTGCGTGTTTGATGCCTAAGAAAACACCTGAGAGATTAACTCGCATCACACGTTCAAAGTCGCAAAGATCGTTGTCTAGGATACTTGGTTTCCTTTCATCTCCTACTGCAGCATTGTTGATCATGATATCCAGCTTTCCATGCTTGTTAATGGTATGATTAATTGCATTTTCTATATCAGATTCTTTGGTTACATCGCAGTAGAGAAAAGAAGCATTCTCAGTGCCCAAATCATCACAAACAGATCGCCCCAGCTCTTGATTGATATCAACACAGACTACTTTGGCCCCATGATGGACGAATTCTCTTGCCATACAAGCACCTATTCCTTGAGCTGCGCCAGTGATCAGAGCCACTTTACCTTCCAATCTTTCAAAAACGAGGAAAAAAAGGAATGAGGTCAGATCATCTTGAAGAATATGCAGGAGAAGTAATGAGAATTACCAGCATGAACAATACCTTTTGGCCACTTGAGCTTTTGATGAAAGATCAGCCATTATGCAGATATTGACTACCCCTTTGTAAACTTTGTGCTAGACAATGGGAATGAAGTTTAGATGTCTTTGCCAAAATGTAGACCCATTTTATAGCCAAGTAATTGACCTAACTACCGTTGGGAATTAAATGTAAAAGGTCTATTAGATTAATTAAGTCATTAGACGTTTGATTATGATGTAAGGATACCATTACGTACCGGGCTCCAATTTTCAATTCAAGTGGTACTCAAAAGAAGATATAAATATGAATTTAATAAAATGCAATATAACGCTTTCTGACACATTGCTGGAATCGTAGACGTATTATAATCATAGACTTCTTTGTTGCTTCTACTCATGTCAGGACACTGGTCTCTTGCCGTCTTGGATTGAAGAGATGTAAACTACCATCATTCGGACCATTAGTTTTCTCAAATCCTATACTTTGACCGCTAAACTTCCACAATTTTTTTGACACACTACTATATTCAAAAAAAATAGACAACATAACGTGCATGATATTAATATTGTCACTGAAAGACCTCTTAAATGAGATGCTTGTTACCAGTTAAAAATGTTGTCACTGATGATTCATTTTCTGGTAATAAGTAGGAAATGATACTTGTAATCTCCTTACAAATTTCACTGCCAATATTTTTAACGTTGGCCAAAAGGACGTGTCCTTGACTTGCCCACCGTGACTAATAACTCTTCCTTTTTTATAATCAAAAAGTTTAGATGAATTTTGCTCCGATCACTATTATGAATTTGAACAATCTCCCGTTGGAATCATAGATTGCTTGTAGGAGTTCTTACAGATTACTCGCCAACACATCTCTAGTATCAACGGTGAAATTCAAGTATACGATTCGTTTTTACCAACCAAATTAACCAACTTGAGCCGGGGACTAATAACTCTTCCACGTGCTATCATATATTGGAGGGGTTTTCAAACTCTGTCCAATTTGTGTCCATAGAAATTCCCGAACAAGTTCCATGCCACATAGTACGCTTAATTGTAAAGATTCTCAAACCTTAACCTGTAACTGCTCCTTGTAAAAAGACAAGAGTTTAACAACTATGAAACACACTTTTCCTGGTTAAATTGCATCAACAGGTTGTACGAGTCATAGTTGTACCGCTTTCGTGTGAATGTGATATATATCTAAAATGAAACTCATTCTTTCATATGGTCTGATGAGTTAATTAAACAGCGAACTTGAGATTCAATGCATCGATTGCGTGTAGAAGCCGTGGCATTTGAATGTGATGCCGAAACTAATCCAATCAGATCATATTTTAGGCATTAGTGGAGAGATGAATGTGTTCAAAAGCCAAAAGTAGGTGACTGCATGCAAGGGTATTCTATTGCAACCAAACTAGGTCATGGCTGGATACCAAAGAAGTAGCCAGAGTGACGACAAAAGTTAGGCGGTTGAACGGCTATTAGTCAAATCAAATCTATTATTATTTTCAGCGTGTTAAATGGGATTCTTTTCTTTTTTTTTCTTTTAAACATTAAATGGGATTCATCTGTTTACTAAGTTTTGAACACATTTTTCTAGAATTAGGAGAATAACGATTTTGGATTCAATTCCTCCTTTTACCATCTCGTTTCTTAAATTTTACCATTTCTGTACTTTATACGAAAAAAAAAAAGACAGTATTAAGAGAATATGGGAGTTAGGGGAGGAAGAAATGAGGAATGAGAAATAGGACGAAGGAATTAAGCTAATTTAAAACAAAACATAAAGGAAATCTGTAATTTCTCTTTCCAAATATTTGATAAGGAAGGCCCTTCCCAGTTCCCATAGGAATACGTTAATTATAACTAACCAAAATTTGTACTTCTTGAACAATTTGCCCACCAAGTTTTTGACAGATCTGTATGCCACATTGAATTATTGATAGTACTGGAAGTCGAGAAAGCTTCTCTAATTTCAATCTAACATGTTTTTGCCATAAAGGCATTGAACAAATTCAGTCTGTTGTTGATTTTGCCAAATGGGCAAGAATGAGGGCTTGGGCCGGTGACATCGCAGATCTAACTCTTAGGAATAAATGCTCCTTATTCAAGCATT